AATTTATACTGTTCACAAGGTATTTTTATTGATAAATATCAAATGCAAGAATTACAAAGAAACAAAAGATCTTGAAGTATTTATGTATGAACCAATGGATCTTGAAGCTCCTATTTTAACTGGAAGACAAGCTCATGTTATAATAAAAACATTAAAACAAACAAAGCCTATTTCAACCCATTCAATTCCAATTCATCTTAGATATCATAAAGCTAGAATTAATGATATGTTTGAAAAAAACGTTATCTTCCCACCTCCTGAAGTTTTCTTTATTTGTGATAATTGTACTGATAGTAGAAGTATTGAACTATTAAAATATCATAAAATTAATGGTTATTTTAATACACCTATCTCTTGTGGAACAAGTGACCCTTCTCAATTTATTTCACCAACTTGTATTCCTCAATTCTCTCAATACACAGTACCTGTAGGACAACTTGATGCATTTGAATCAGTAATGAAAATCACTCTTGGAACTACTTTAATCGGTGCAATTATAATTATTGCATTCGTTATCATTTTTTAATTGAAAACCAATTTAATCAAATAAATAAATCATTGTTTCATATTCAATTAAATTGACAAATAGAATAGCATTTATATAACTTATCAATTCGAATTTTTAAAAATTCACATTTTTGTTTTTCAGTTAATAATCCTGATATTTCTAATACACTTCTAATAATAATATCATTTAAATATAATTCAGGAACATTAAGTCCATTTTCTATTATTAATTGAAGTAATTCAATATCACATGAACAATCCCAAAATTTTAATGAACATTCTGGATAAGGTAATAAAGCTTTCCTTTTGGAAACAAAATTATTTGCTTTTATAAATGTTTCCATAATATTTGCCATTTTAGTTAATTGTGGATCAATAGGAGGAAGACTAATTAATAATTTATCAACTATATACTGTAATTGAACTTTAGTTAATGGAATAAATTGAGTAAAATCAATTTTCCATAAATTTAGATCCCTACCATAACGTTTTATAGCTGAAGTAAGTGATTTAATCCATTGCACTGCTTTATCTTGTGAAATTAATTGACTATATTCTTTAATAATATTAATTAATTTAGGATTTATTATAGATTCTTCCTCTTCCTCTATTGTATTAGAATCTGATAGGTCATTAATAACTTCTAATTTTCCAATTGGGATTTCAGGTTGTTGTTTTAATGAATTTTGTTTAGTAGGATTTACATTTTCATCAAGAGAAATAATTTTATCTAATT